AATGCTCTGTTTTGGGAGAGCTTGTCAAATCACAATTTGTTCAATCTAAAGAAAAGGTCGGCCAAATTTTATTTAAAAATTAAGTTCATCCACCAATAAATGAAACCAGATCCGCGTTTGCTTTGATTAAAACGACAGTAACTTCAGCGTAGGATATGAAACGCAACAAAGTGACAATCAAATTGTTTCAAGCACAAAGTTCAACGTTTTTTTATTCAGGCGTTTTTCGATTTAACATTATTTTTCAGTGATAAAAAATATTAACTATTACAAACTCGACTTGGACTTTTAGAGTGGCGAGACAGTTCATCTGTCTGCACGGTCAATTCGAAGACTACTACTTCAAGATGCAAGACTACTTCGACAGGACCTTCACGGCTGCAGTGAGAAAGAACCTAGACACCTCTATTGCTCAGAGCCTCCTGTCGAGAATAAGAGACTTCCTCGGAAAGAGGTTCAACTTCTTCGAACTCAGGGTCGACTATCCGTACCAACAGGTGATTCAAACTAATTCAGTTTCAATAGGCGATGTAAGTTTTCAGCTATTAAAGTCTTTGTTTCAATGGCGTCACATAATTTGATTATGCATTTGGTCACTTTGACATTTATGCAAGTCATGTCAAGAATTCCATCCCTCGAAATCCAAATAATCGACCTTTGGTTTTTTGCGAAGTCTCCTCTTCAAACTCACCATTTTAAACCAAAATTATAAACAATGTTTGTGGGAAAGGAGGGAGAACATTTTCAGCTTCGTTTTCTCGTAAAAACCCTTGTTCGACCCTTGCTTGAACAAAAGATTTCACTAAAATGGTTTTATTTTTGGTGACGACTTCTTTTATTCTGAGTATCAATCCTTGCAGACACATTTCTTTGAGCAAAAATTGCTTCACATTTTCAGAAATATATGTGTAAAATCATGAAACTTTAGGTTTGATTGCAGCGATGAATTTAGGAATTCACAACTTGTTCCCAATCTTAGTATTGTTTCATTCTCAATTTTTTATGCGTGATTGCAAAAATAACGCATTTTCTGGCTGGATAAAAAATAAATTAATCTTCTCATCTCTAGGTTTACAGACTTGGAGTAGAGGAGGCTAGGAAGCACTTTGGAGGAGCTGTGAGTTACCTCCCCATAGCACTGGAGATCATGTCCTGTGCGAGGAAGGAACTGGCCCGGCTGACCAAGATACTCGAGCAGGGCATAGACGAAGAACCACCTGTTGTCAAAACAGGTGTCGATTTTTAACTTTTTAATTACTTCGGACTCTTTGCCTTCCCTCTACCATTTTTTTCTCGCGTAGTATCTAATTTTAGAAAAGAAATTAATTGCTATTGGTTATGTCATTGAGTGATGATGCAGTTTTTGAAAAAAAAACTATTCTTTTTTCAAAATTGTTTTTTTTTTCGTTCTTGCCTCCCCTGTGCAAATTTTATTTCATGAAACTAATGCTCATGATCAGGGGCGGATCTAGGATCTTCTCGAGGGAAAGGGGCGTATTTTCAAAAAAATTTCGAAAAATATTTTGTCGACCCTTTTTTTAGGGCGACCAAATTGATTTTCCGAGCTCTCTCAGAGCATTAAAAAGACCCTGTTTTGGTCCAATTTTCTGCGCCGTAGGCAATATTTTGACAAAACAGGTCAAAAAGGAATTTTTGGGCACATTTTGGAAAATTTTGACCAAAAAATTGCGTTTATTCGGCGCGCGCGCTCCCCCTCAAAAATTAGAATTTATTGGCGCCCAAGGCGCCATTAGAAAAATTTTGGGGTACCTCACCTAAAATAAATATCTCAAAATAGTACAAAGGGAGGACCCGTTGGGTCATCAGGGGGTCGAATCCCTGAGGGTGGGGGGGGGGGGGATTTCCGCCGACCCGGTTACCCCTAAATCCGCCCCTGTACTTTTAGATTTGAGCAATGGAGATGGAAAAAAAGTTATTTTTGCATCAAAATGTGTCTGTTTTGACAAATTTGAGCTACTAAAAAAAAAAGGCTTTTTGTTGTTTTTCTAGGTTGAGCTCTGACCGTTGAAGTACTCAACTTACCAGCAAACTTGATTTCCTCCCCCCGCCTCCAAATCCTCTACTGCTCATGATGTTTGATTGTAGTAAAAACTGACTTGCACAACAGTTATGAACGCGTCAAAAGTTCCTCAGAGTTCTAGCCCTTTTTATCCCTCCAACAATTTTTGATGGTTTAATTTTGTTACGAGGCCATACTGTGTACTCGATACGCACACCGTTTGGTGTGTGTGCAGGTGACTTCAAGCCAGAGACAAGTATTTAAACATGTAATAAATTGTAAGTGGATTCCACTAACAAAACTTCCAAGGATTCTGCGCACAAAGTTTTTTTGCACGCAACGAAGATTTTGTCGGCAACTTAGTTGTTTCGCGGATTTCGCAACGAACAACGAGCAAATTGCTGTGGGCATAGATAAAAAATTATTGTTCCGACTTTTGTCCTGAGCTTAAATTTGAAAGATGTTTCACATATGATCATTTTTCGTAAAGTTATGGGGGTTTAAAGATTGCCATTTTGCCTGTAATCATTTTTTGCGAAAATATAAGGGTTTGAAAAATGCCAATTTGGGACAATTAGCGTGCAATATATTTCGCGCTAGTAACGTGTAAGCGAGATTTAATCCGTCTTAAAATTTTTTCCAAGCTCGTTCAAGGAAGCTTAAATGTCATAATTGATTTTTTAATAGGAGCAAAATCTATCACTTTGTACTTACTATGACTTCTCAAATTCAATTTTTTTAAATTTTTTTAAAAGTTTTTTTTCTATTACATTCAAATTTTTCATATTATTACTGCTCCAAAGACCCTAAAAGGCATGTGGAACATTCAGGGCTTCGCCCTGATACGAGCAGTCTTGTTATTATATAATAACAATTAATAACACATTTTGAGCCGAAAACATCAAAGTACTTCTTTAATAACTGAAACACGCATTGAAATTCCAAACAGTTTTCGTAAGCATTGGGGATGACCTTTTGTTTTAAATAGTCTAAAACTGGGTACTTTTTCCAAAATTCATTTTTTTTGCTGCTAAAAACGAAACTTTTATCGTTGTTTCTCCAGCGCTATTGTTTTTTTTTAAAATGCGTCTCAAACTAGTCAATATTTTTGAGAGGCCAATATACGCGTCTTAATTTGCAAACACGCTTTTTAGACTCTTTCATTGTTTTACCTCCATCCCATCGAATAAGTGGATTCAGTGCCATTTTATGCTTGGCAAGGTTGAGTAAGGAGACCAACTGAATGTTGGAAATGAGAACTTATTATGTATGCCAAGTTTCCAAATAATCGTCAAATGGGTTATAAAATTTACACAGTTACAAAGATTGAACGTGTGGAGAGAAAACGGTAGAAGAATCGATTTGGGTCAAAAAATGTCAATTACAATACTTTCAGAAAAATTGGCGAGCCTAACTTTTTTATTAATTCAACTCGGAAATTTAGCTCAAACGTTTTTTTCGGTCCATTAGTCCATTAACACGTTTCCAACAATCTCTTGGCTCCGTTTTTCTGCCAGTGAATAAATCAAGGAAACAGATTTTTAAATTTTTTTTCATTTTTTTGGGAGAAGTTTTTATCGGTTAATCACGCTACAGGTTGACTTTTTCCCGGTTTAACTTTTGATTTCTATCTTGAAAGTTCAAGAACCAGAGCTTGAAAGAAAAAAAGTTACGCCTTCCAATAATGAAAATGTAAAAACTGCAACAAAACGTGCTGAAAAGTGGTTTTACTCAGTCTTGTAGTCCAGCTTACTCAAGTTTTATTATGTTTATCGGAAAATAACTCGTCCTTCAATTTTTTTTAGTAATAGGCATTTGGTTAATAAATCGAAAAATGAAAACTCTTCAAATAAAGTCTATTTTTTCTCTCTTTACTCAAGTTTATTAACACATTTCATTCTTTCTCTTGGATATGCTCTTTGTTACTGTTTCCATCATTGAAAATGGGGAGGAACTTTGTATTCGGGTGTGTTTTAGTTTTTTTCTTATAGTTTTCCACGCAAAATCAGGTACCACAAATAATAATTGGACTAGGTTGAGTGATATATCATGTTAAAGTCCTTACAGTTGTGATTCGAACCACATTAAAAACTTTTCAAAAATTTTTACCAGTGTCGAGAAAAACCGGTTTGAATTTTTGATTTTCGAGCGAATAAAGCGAACGAGCAGTCTTATTTTAGTTGCTTAAAAGCTTACAATAGCTTAATTTAAAACGTAAAAACGTAATTTTACTTGAATAACGTCAGTTTGCTTTGGGTATTTTGGCGCCTTTTGGAATCAGAATCTTCCAAAAATTCAAAATACTGCAAAAAACTAGAAAAAATGTTCGATTTTTTTTCCTAGTTCTAATATTTTTTTTTTCTCAAAAATTGTTTTTCAATTTGTTTATTTGAGTATGGCTGTCAATTATACCTAATCTTCAGGTTTTTTGTTCAGCTCTTTTTATCACTCGACGCCGAAATTTTTTTATATTGTATTGTTGTAAAACTGTATTTTCGTTGAAAAAATGTTGCATTTTTTCAAGACTATGGTCGGAACATTCTGTGCTACTTGCACACTAACCGGCTATCCTTGTTTTATTTAACTAAGATGTGATCCCTTTCTCAATATAGCGTCCTCGAAAAAGGAAATTGTAGCCCCAATATATAATGTTTAGGCTCTCTTTTACACTCATTTGAAATGTGTTTCGCATGTAGTTCCGAAAGAGAGCAGACCCGGTACTGATTTCATCGCGAGGAACAAGAAGTTTGTGGACACTGCAGATCTGACGGAGAAGTTGAGGATTCTCAATGGAAAATACTGTGCCCGATGTGCTCTTCCAAGAAGAGGCTAGTTACCTTAAAAACATTAGTGCTTGATTGGTTATCTTAGAAGGGAAAAAATTATATATAATAGTTTTTGCAGCAATGTAATGACATCCATTCTAGGCCGAGCAACCCGTAAAATTTTGTAAAGGCGCTCATGGCGCCAGTATATACTAATTTTGAAGGGGAGCGCGCACCGGAAAGAAAACCATTTTTTGGTCGAAGTTTTCTTAAAAGTGCCCAACAACGGCTTTCTGACATGTTTTTTCTAAACTGTGACTGCGGCGCTGAATTTTTAGTCAAAATACGGTCTTTATAAGGTTCTGGGAGTGCTCGGAATATCAATTAATTCTACCTAAAAAAGGTCGATAAAATTCCTAAACTTTTTTTGAAAATAAATCTACCCTCGAGAAAACCCGAGATCCGCCCCTGGTTCTGCTTATAGTTTTTTTAGGTAATGTTTACCGAAAGTCATGAATCTGAAAAAAATGGAAAAACCTTCGAAAAAAAGTTATCATAATTTAAACATACATAATTATCCGTCAAAAACTCCAAAATATATTTGAAAAACTAACCAACAAGCAAATAATTAGATATACTTTAAAAATTGGTTAAAATTAATTTAGCAAAAACTTCACCAATGCAATAGAAACGCAAAAAAAATTCACCAACAATTTTTCTAATTCCCAAAAAACCAATCAATTAGGACTACTTATAAAAAATACAGATTTTGCTACTAGGGAAAGGTGGAGATTGCTTCCCTTTTGAACCCCAGCGACCATGGAAGGGGGCGGGACGACATTCATGGAACTACGCCGCCACCAAGTATTGTGCATGTTCGGACAGTTGCCACGACAACTCTAGTAGCTTCTGTGGACGACTGTGTCACTAGGCAGAATGACTTTTTTGAAGAAAAATTGTTCGCATACTGAGTTTTTGCAGTTTTTTTTTGCTGTATAAAAACTATACAGAAGATATCAGTAGCTATTAGACGATGAAACCAAGAAACTATCTCAGTATAATTCAAAAACTACTATCAAATTTGTCTTTACCAGAAAAAAAATTAAAATGAAAACAAATTACAGATTTACTAATCGCTCCGACTCTAGCTAGGCTCAATTTGAAAATACCAGACCCTTTTTAAGTGTCAATGGTTGAATAGAGCCGCCTCAAGGAAAAAAATTAAAAGTTGTTTTCAGCTCTTTATTTACGCTCATTGAAAATCAGAAGTGCAAATGGTTGCGAAAACGCGCTCTACATTTAGTTTCAAAACGAGAAGTGAAATTTTTTAGTGTTTTAGTTTCTCAAACTGGATTAGCGTAGACATAAAGTGTCGATCTAAAAAAAACTGAAACTTGTAGAAACCTAAAAATTGAAATAGATGTTAAAAAGTCAACTGATACTTCGCGTTCATTAATACTTTTCTAAACTCTTTCTGGTTATATTAGGAAAACTTCATAATTTATTTCGATAAAACAAACTCCGTTTGGAAAAAAAATAATTACGCTTCCAAATTTTGCACTGAATAGGCACACAGTTTGGAGACGCTAGGCCACTGGAATCCTGAGACAAGTGTTTATACTTGTTCCAAAATGTAATAAGAATCCATTTTTAACATTTCCGAGGATTATGCGCTGAAATAAGGAAATGAGAAATTTTTGGCGGCATGCTGAAATCTTCGCGGATTCCGAAACGAGCAATTTTAGTTGTTTTCGATTCTCGATTCCGCAAATGTAAGCAGTTTTGCATTTTTTTAAAAATACAAGCCATTTTTATTACATTATGGCAATTCCCCTTTCAAATTGCGGATTCCGCTTAAATCTTGCGGATTTTACTTACAGTCGCAGACTTCGCCGCAGTGTAAACTTACTATGCACAAATATACACAAACAGTTGAATATACAAATTAAATTACACAAACAATTCCTGACTCCACATCTTTTGTTGCAATTTGCGAAAAATTGAAATCATGAAAAACTACTGAAACATGAACGGTTGGGCGCAATATAAAAACTTTGAAATTTAAAAGTTTTCAGTTTTGAAAATTTGAAAATTGAAAATGAAAATTTTCATTTTTTTAGCTTGTCATTATGATTTCGTTTAGGCCTTGATTCAACTTCCCTTTTTCGATAAAGTGTTCAAAGTACGTTTCCAAAAGCAGGTAATTTTTAACTTTGATTCATTAAAAAATTCATTTTTTAGATTCTTAACGGTATAAAAATTAATTTTTCAGAGCTATTGAAATTGGATCAGTTTTAGAAAATATAGAAAAAAAAATATAGAAAACTTCTGAACTAAAATTAACTCTATTATGAAGGGTTCAAGTGATTTTACCTGAGATTTTAAATGTTGATTTTGAACGCTGATCTTAATATTTCATGTGATTCAAATCGAGACAAAATACAATCATCATCAATACAATCCCGCATCCAGTTTCAAGCGTTGATAATTGATTATAATATGATTTCAGTACCAGTCGTACAAAAATTGTTTATAATCCTTTTTGTTTGCACATTTTGTCTTCGAACTTCAATCTGAATTGTTCATATTTTATGTTTTCTTAGACATTGGCTTATGTGAAAAAAGGGAAAAACTGTTTTAACACTTTTCAAATCAATTCAAATTTATAACTTTTTTGTTTTCATTTCTTCATATTATAGTTGTTTCATGGTTCATATTTTAATTTCTTTGAATAACCAATAATCAGCACACTGCTTTAGTTTCATAATTTATGTAGAAGAGTTATACTTCCCCTGACGCGGGATTCTTTCAACTAATGTGAAGGGATCTCTATGAAACTTTCGTGGTAACTTTGTGTTCAGATGAACCAATAAATGACAAGTCATCTCACTTTTAGAGATTTTTGACAAAAAACAGGACTATACTCTAGTATAATATATTATAACAGATTATAGGAGATAATAAAATATTAGGAGAGATTATAAAAAAAATTTGGAAAATTTATAATCAATTATAATTGATTATAATTCATTATAATGTGACCAAAAATGTTATCATTATAATGGATTATAAATCTTAAACATCTAAATTTGGTGCATATAATTAATTATAATTTTGATAAAATCACAATTATAATTGTAATATAATAAATCATTTTCTCTTACTGAGTGCGGGTTGACAAATATATTTCAGTTTGGACCAACCGTACAATCTCCCCTCCCTCTAAGTGACCTACCGTGGAGTTTCCAGCCTAGCTAAAACTGAAGTCGAAACAAGTTCAGGTACAATTTTGTCAAGGTATAATTTAATCGCATTTTAACCGAGACTTTTAACTAGATCTTGTACGTTCAGTTGCGTCGCAGATAACAGAGGATCAGCTTATTCACCGGTCGAAACAAATACTGAAGTTTGAGTTTTCTGGGATTTTTTTTTCGCTGATCATCAATAGATTGGCAAATTTATTTGGGTCAACCATACAATCTCCCACCCCTCCTAAAAGACCTACCGTGGAGTTTCTAACCTAGCCACGAATTAATTCTGAAAAAAACTTGATTATCTATAAAGTATCCATTTCGAACAAGCGAGCAGAATATATTTTACCTCAGAAAATTTTTTCATGTAATAGCTATTTAACCTTGCATTTTAGGGAATATTTGTGGAAGTTATGCGCTTTGGAAGAAATTATGCGCTTGATCCTTCAGCTTTTCAAGAATTGTATTTTTTGAATTTTATTTTACTTGTTTCTCTGAGCTTGCTGAAGCTTTGGCAACTGAGTGCCGCTTTTATTGCGAGGTAAAAACTAATGGTTTAAAAAAGGAACCGAAATAGCAAAAGCGGAAAAACTGGCTACCTTGATTTTCGTCTTCTTTGATCCTTGATTTGACCAAACTTATCCAACATTCGTATTGCTCACATTTTTCTAGAATGAATTGCACCTTGCTGCGTGCTATAATTCTTTTTCTTGCAAACCATTAATTAGCAATTTTAATTAGTACTCAATATTATATTTGTATCAATACAACGTGATTAGAATTTTTGAGATTTGTTGTAATTGTAATTACTTAACAATTAAATGGGAAACATGTTATCTTATACTCAGTTTTTTTTTGCTAATTTTATTCCGCGCCTTTTAGCAAAGTGTTACCATGCACGCGGAATGTTCTTAGCCTCATTCAGTTGTTCCTCCGTGAACTCTCGTTTGTTCTCAGTCGCCTCTTTTACTCCCAAAGTAGGTCCATTGTAGCCCTCTTTCACTTGGGCCTAAAGAAAAAGTAAACAGAAACCTATTTAACAGTCAACTGCCAACAGTCACAACAATTCCTTTGATCTAAACAGTCATAACAATTCTTTTGATCTATTGGTACGACAATTATTTTCCTTGCAAATGTAATTAAAGCGTGCTTTTTATAAAAAAAATAGTCAATAATAACAATTATCTATGTTAACGTAAGAAAATTATATACAGATGCAGGGGCGGATCTTGGATTTTCTAGAATGGGGAAGGCGGATTTTCGAAAAAATTTCCAAAAATTTTATCGACCGTCCTTTTAGGTTGACTAAGTTGAAAACACTAAAAAGACCCCGTTTTGACCACATTTTTGGCGCCACAGGCAAAAATTTGACCAAAAACAGTCAAAAGTTAGTGTCAGTCAGCCAAAAAACGAAAATTTTCGAAAATTTTGACGACCTTTTTTTTAGGTCGACCAAATGATTTTCCGAGCTCTTCTAAAGCACTAAAAGGTCCCTGTTTCCACCGGCGACCTTAAACCAAGAGCTTGAAGTAGTCGGCTTAATAGTCTTAGGCCAATTGAATATTTTTGGTACTAACGCGATTGATTTTTTATTTTGGTACAAATGGGACTGGTTTATCATTTTGGTACTAGTGAATACCAACCAAATTTGCAATTTAGGATAACTAACGAGGCGAAATAAATCTCAGCTTACGCGTTCATATCACAAAAATTATTGGCTCTTTTTCCTTTACCCCCCACCTCACTCAAACATGAATTTTATGGTGTAAAAATTGGTTTTACAAGGTTAATTATGAAGATCAAATATGCTTATTATGGCCTAATGAGTCTGCATGTCAATTTTCACGACAATCGGACAAAGTGAACAGTAACTTCAAATATAAAAATTTGCAGGTGGGGGGGGGAGGAAAAAGAGCTAAATTATCGAGTGTTAATTATCCAAATTTGGACAAATTGACTGACGCGTTAACAGCACCAAAAAGACTGAGCATTAATTATGCCGAATTGCTAAACTGATTGACGTGTTCATAGCACAAAAGATACTCAGCAATAAATATCCCAAATTGGCTAAATCGAATGACGTGTTGATAGGTGACGTCCCATTTGTACCAACGGTCATTTGTACCAAAATGAAAAATCGGCCCCATTTGTACCAAAATTATTCAACTCGAGTTCTGATTGGTCGAATTGTGAGCCAACGAATTATTACATTAATTTTCTACTGTTCAAACAGAAGAAAACTATACAGCAGAATAAGGACCGCCGCAGTCGCGCCAACGTGTTGCGAGCTTGCCAACAGAGGGCAGGACTCTATACGAAAATTAGAGCCGGTTATAGCCGCAAAGCGGCGACTCGCGCGTAGCGCGCTCACCGGCGACCTTAAAACAGGAGCTTTAAGTAGTCGGCTTAATAGTCTTAGGCCAATTGAATATTTTTGGTACTAACGCGAGTGATTTTTTATTTTGGTACAAATGGGACTGATTTATCATTTTGGTACTTGTGAATACCCACCGTTCAAAGCACACAAAATATTGCGCGTTTATCATTCCAAATTGGCAGTCTTCAAGCCCACATAACTTTGTAAAAATAAACATCGTTAAAATATAATTTTTTCAAATTTGATCTCAGGACAAAAAATTCCAATATCCTACAAATGATATAAGAAATTCCGTCAAAAATTGTTTGCTAGAAAATAAAAATTTGTCTGGAGAAAAAAACACACCGAGCACATTTATTCCGTCCCTTCTTTGAAAACTGGAACAATAATGAAAATTTTATTTGCTTAAAAGAAATTTAAGAATTGCAGATTTTACGATGCGTCAACTGCGACAATGCTCCAAACGCAGTTTCCGAACATTTTCATTGAAATTTTTTGACAATGTGTCAGAGTATGCAAAATAAGCTCCAAAAGTACTTGATGCCAGCTGATTTGCAAAAAAAAGCATGCACTGCGCATGTTTTTCCGTTCTTAAAACACCAGTTTTATTTTCTAAAGTTCATAAACGCACACTTCCCCATTGATGCTTTTCATACTTGTGGAGCAAGAGTTTGATCTACCTACGACTAGTTTTTTCTCGTTTTATAAAATTCTGCCAATAGTTTTTTTTCCATACTACGAAAGTGTTTGACTAGCATTTTCTGCGATTGAAAATTGGGTCTGGTTTGATGTTTCCTGTTTATCATAAAGCAAGACAATTTAATAATTTATTTTGCAAAAATTGAGTATTTGTAGGTCGCGGATTTTTTGGACTGACTCCAAATTTATCTTGCCATAAATTAAATATTTTTCCATTAAAAACGAGCTTACAAAAACACATATTCTGATTTTTTTCTTTTGTGCGAAAAAACTCTGTCTGAACTACGTTAGAAAAAAATAAAGATTTTTCAGAACATACAAAAATAAGAAATTTTTGCCAGTTTTGGAGTTATTTTGAAAAAACGATATTAATGTAATTTTACTCAGCATGAATTTCTTACGGCTAGCTTTTTTACGGTATAATTGACATCAATTTTTCTCGAGTTTGCAGTTGTAGTCTCTAAATTTATTTCATAGCCATTACATGTTTTGCATCAACTATGAGCGTCCTCATTTTAACAAACATCAACAAACAAAACTGTATTTCAGAAAAAAACTTTGGTCATAAAAATTTAATAGTTTGCAATTGTATGACTAGTATATCCTCTTTTTTGATAAGCTCTATATATGAAATTGTATGAGTAGACTTTTTTCTAGCATGGATATCAACCCGGGCTAATAATGTGAATGAGTGTTATGTGTATTCTTGTTTTTTCTTTCAACTGCATAACAGAAAAAACATTTTCGGCTAATTTACCTTTCGGGCTAGTGACAGCAGTGCAATCTTGACTTGGTTGATACCTCTCGCCTCTACCAAGTCCACCGAGGCGAATGAATCGTCGTCAGACACTCCGTATGCCTTCATCGCTTTCACAAACGCGTCCGCATTCTCCATCTGAGAAAAATAGTTTATTTTGTTTTGTAAGTGTAACATAAGCCCTCGCTCATTCTTATGTAATTCAATTCACTGTCTATTAAATTACTGATGGATCGTTCTCCAGAGAAGAGGACTTCAAAAAATTTCACAAGAACATTGATAAAGTTATCAAAATTGACGAACCAAACTTAACTATTCTCGAACCTCCGAGAAACCCTATAAATAAAAATCTATTTCAAAATTTAAAAAACGCGTTCACCAGCATAGACACAGGTTGCTCACTTTTGAATTCTTTTGGAAAATGTTGGCCAAAAAATCAAGTTTTTGATGCGCCTTTTTCAAACAAAAATAGTTGTCTTGCATTTTGCATGAAAGATTCTTGAAGAAAAAAATAGGTTCGCTCAGGCAAATATGGTTGACATAAAACAGTACAAAAAATAGGGGGAACCTCTTATGGGTGGTGAAAATGTCAAAGTCCTGAGGAACCTGTTTTTGAAGAACAAATTCATATAGTTTGTCTCACCATCTGAAACTTGCCGGCTGCCTTTTTGTTGTATTTTCCAACTTTTCCGTCAGGTAGCGCCGCTATCAGTCTAACAACAAAACAAAAGACTTTAGAGTTTCACTAAATCTAAGTTGCCATTTATTAAAAGTTGATGGAGAATTTAGGTTGACCATTATGACTTTAGCAACATGATACGTGGGTTTGACCACAAATGCAAATCATGAAAATATATGAAAAATGTACTCAGTTTAATTTCCATACAACTCCATACGCGTAAAATTGCGTGAAAAAACTTAGTTTGTTACTTTTTAGATTTTGAAAAAATTATGACTAATTTTTTTCATTGAAACAAAAATAAAACGCTTGTATTATTAAAAATAAAACGCTATAAAATTTTTGAGTTTTTTCCAATATAATCCTTTATACCAAAATTTTCATTAAGTTTTGTGAAAACTATCTGCTACCAACTAAATAAATGCTTTTCATTTATTTTTCAAAACAATAGCAAATTTTTCTAGCAAATTTGTAATCCCTTGTTTTAAAACTGTAGTTACTACGCAAGATTGAAACAAAACAACATTTTCTGCCTTCATTTGGAAAATGGAGCAATATTAATCAATGAAAGCTCAACACTACTATCTCAAAAAATCGAATTAAATTAAAAGTAAGTTAGATATCGAGACTGTTGCAGCTACTTTTAGATAATGGTTCCGTCCTTGAGAATTGACTTGATGTCTCCCTTTGGAAATAATACTCCGTTGCCATTATGATCAAGCAATAGTGTTAGTGATTTGTTTAAGACTCGTGTATTGACATGCAGAGGATGGTTCCGTTTTTGAGGAGTGTCTTGATGTCTCTCTTGGGAACTAAATTTCTTTTTCTTATTATCATCGAACAAGAGTGTTAGTTGAGTTATTGTGACTCTTCTACAGGCATGCAGAGGATAATTATATTCAGAACTACTACAACTACTGCTATTATAATCACAGAATAGCTTAATTGAGACTCCTGTATTTTGACTCCTGTACTGACTTGCAGAGGATGATTCCGTCCATGAAGACGGTTTTGAAGTCTCTCTCATAAGCTACTACTTCCATTGATAATTCCATCAAAAAATAATGTTAGTGAGGTATTGTAATTCTTTGACTTTTAGATGATACTTCCGTCCTTCAGTGTTGTTTTGATGTCTCTTTTGAGAACCACTTGTCCTTTTGTTATTATAACCGCATGATAATGATAGTTAGTTTTCGAGAGTGGTGTACTTACTTGTAGAGGAAAGTTTCGTCCTCGAAGGCTGTTTCAATGCCTCCCTTTGGAACTACTACTTCTATTTTTATTATAATCACAGATTTTACTTTGACTTTTGTTGAACTTGCAGAGGAAAATTTTGTCCTTGAGGACTATTTTGATGCCTACTTTGGGAAAAAATACTCCTATTGCTATTATGAGCAAACAATGGTCTTCGTGAACTGTTTAAGACTCGTGCATTGACTTGCGGAGGATGGTTTTGTTCAAGAGGACTATTTTGATGTCTCCTTTGAGAATTACCACTGCTGTTGTCCTAGTATAGTGTTAATTAACTGTGAATTGATAACTGCTTTGTGGCGGATGGTTTCGTCCATAAGTTCTGTCTTGATGTTATTGTTAGTATAAACTCAAAATATTTTTTAGTGAACTATGATTACGGTACTGACTTGCAGAGGATGGTTCCGTCCTTGAGGACTGTCTTGATGTCTCCCTTGGGAACTACTACTCCGGTGGGTGCCAAAATAGCCGCCACCCACTCCATCACTTCACTCTCCTTGATGCTCTCAGTCGGCTGATGCAGATTGAAACAAAAGTTGACGAGATAATTAAAAATATTATTTTAAACTTCCAGGCAAAAGCAAATTAAAATCAATAGCCAATTGTAAACCCGGATCGAGGTGCTCAATTTAGGTTTTGACCTTCAAATTCGAGCACATGTCAGTGCTCGACCGAAAAAGAATGGTCGAGACTGGGGTTCGGCTCGAGCAAAAAAATCGAAATATACCTCAAACATGGTCAAAACAGACCTCAAGCCCGGTCGAGCTCGGTCAAATTTACCTCGAGCACGGTCGAAAACAGTCGTAACATACCTCGAGCACGGTCGAAAAATATCGATTGTCCCGTGGTAATTCGGAGTCAAATTGAAAACTTTCTGTAAGTATCAACATGTCTTTTTTTAAAAATTTCGGCTCAAATTGCAGAAATTGAAAAGATAGTGAAAATAGCTCAAAATTAGTCTTTACAAAGCGTTTAAATTGCAAGCAACTATAATCATTCCATTCTGATGAGAAAGCATCGTAGGATTTTACCCGGAAAGTATGACTTATAACGTTTTAATTTTGATAAATCGTGTTGTTTGAAAGTCGAAACATACCCGAATTCGGTCGAGCACGGTCGAAACATACAAAATTTTGGTCGAGCACGGTCAAAACATACTGAATTTTGGTTAAGACGGTCGAAACATACCAAATTTTGGTCGAACACGGTCGAAACGCACCAATTGTTTTGATGTAGACAGTCGAGAAATAAAGTGAGCAACTCGACCAGGGAATACTCCCGCGTCAACACGACCCAGCGGTGTAGTAGTTCAGAGGATTCATTAAAAACTGAAGTCAATAACCCGCCCGTTCACAACTACAAACTCACTTTTCTCCTTAGGTGAAAAAACTCCTGATTTTTGTGCTAAGTGATTAAAACAACTATTTAAGACCCGCCCTTCGTTACTTTTGAGCATATGAATAGCACCAAACCAAACCCATCTATTGTTACAAGCTCTGATTTTTTCAGCATTTTTGTCCTATTGAACAAGATTTAAAAAGTGCAGTTTTCAATATCCCCAGCAACTTACCATTATGACACCTTATGTATACTCGTTCAAAATCACAAGTTGCTGAATTTTGTGCAATAAGTTGAGTTGCAACTAGAATAAATGAGAATGAATTGGTTTGCCAGGCAACGTTTGCTGTTCAGTTTCCACGGCACGGGCGATTATTAAGTCCCAAATCCATGTGCTGGAAACATTTGGCTCGCAAAAGGGTTTACAGGGGCAGTTTAGTAACAAAATTTACACAAAGTTTCTATAAACCAAACGTTCCGTAAACCTAAAACACTGATTTGAGAAAAAAAATGAAATCAAAAAATAAATAGTTTGATTTGAGAGCTGGTGCAATAAAAACTCAGTGTTTATCTTATTATTTTCGCATAACTTCTTATCAATTTTAAGCAGAGAACTACGAAAAGTTAGCAGAGAGAAGTCGTCTGTTATCAAATGCGAAGTATGATAAGCAGACGCAATTTTACACCATTTTAAAGAATTGGGTTTTCCAAAACTTGGCACCCAATGTCAATAAACGTTCATTCCTAGAGAATTCATTCGTTTTACAGAGCAATGAACTAGCATAGAGAAGTTGGATTTGATAAGATAGCGTGCAGCTTCATAAGAAATTTCACTTTTGCTGACGTATTTGCCATGAAATTTGGGGTGATCAACTAAACATTCCGTAAAAACAAAACTAGGTTAGAGAACAAACTTTTGTTCCGACTTTCGAAGAAAACGGAATATTTATGCTTGGTGTGGTTTTTTCAATTAGTAATTTTTCGGCGCTCGAAGTAATAGTTTTTCACATAAATGTTTATGCGCGCTTTGAATATTTTGTTCAAACGCGGAAAACGTAAAGTTAATTTTTTATGCGTGCCGAGTTATCCCGCTCTACAAATTGGTTTCAATATTAATCGAGGCTAGCTAATTAGTCGTTCTAATTTCAAACGGCTCAAAAAATTATAGTTTTTTAAAATTTTCTTTTCCCAAAAACTATCTGATATGGGTTAAGTGGCAGTCGGAAGAATCAAGGCTTCGCTCAGACATACGAAGTGTTTTGTTTTGTTTTCAAGATACTGACAAAGTCGCAAACCACATGATTACGAAAAAGTAGCAAAAAGGCTGAAACAAACATAAAACAAAGACGTAACTAAAATGTCAAAGAGTTTAAGAGTCGAGTGACGCCTCAAAAGTAAGAATAAACAAGACTGCTCGTATCAGGGCGAGGACCTGAATGTTCCGACTGCCTTTTAAGGTTTATGGAGCAGCAGTAATAACATTAAAAAATTAATAAAAATAAATAAAGATGAAAATTTTTTTCTAAAATTTGAAATTTTTTATGAAAATCATCCCCCCACACGCCATATAAAGTACAACCTGACTGCTCGTATCAGGGTGAAGCCCTGAATGTTCCGACTGCCTTTTAAGGTTTATGGAGCAGTATTAACATAAAAAAATTAAATGAAACAAAATAAAATGGAAATTTTTTTTCTAAAATTTGAAACTTTTTATGAAAATCATCCACCAACACGCCATTTAAAGTACAAAAGGATAGATTTCGTTCCTTGAAACAAACCAATTATGGCAAATAAGCTTCTTTCAACCATTTTGAAACGATTTCTAAGGCTGATTAAATCTCCGCTTACGCGTTAATAGCTCGAATTATATCGTGCGTTAATTGTCCCAAATTGGTCAAAATGGCCAAAATGGCAACATTTAAACCCTCATAACTTTGCGAAAAAAGATCATAGGTAAAATATGTTTTCAAATTTAAGCTCAAGGTAACAATATCTTTTGAATGATATAAAAAAAACATTCCGTCAAAAATGGTTATTTAAAAAAGTCGAAATTTGTCTGAAGAAAAAAAAACCCACCCCGAGCACAAATATTCCGTTACTTTCGTATCGAAAGTCGGAAAAAAAGATAGATTTCGTTCCTTGTAACAAGTCAATTATGGCAAATAAGCTTCGTTCAACCAATTTGGAATAATTCATAAAACGGATAAAATCTCCGCTTACGCGTTAATAGCGCGAATTATATCGCGCGTTAATTGTTCCAAATTGGTCAAAATGGCCAAAATGGCAATCTTTAAACCCTCATAACTTAACGAAAAATCATCACAAGTAAAATATCTTTTTAAATTCAAGCTCAGGGCCACAATACCTTTCGAATGATATGAAAAAAATTCTTCAAAAATGGCTAGTTAAAAAGTCGAAATTTGTCTGAAGAAAAAAAAACCCACCCCGAGCACAAATATTCCGTTACTTTCCTATCGAAAGTCGGATTAATAAAAGAAGGGCGGTGGTTGTGTGTTTTTCATTTGCCACCGAATTTTAGTATTTCCAAACGTTTCAGACCAAGACCCATTTGCAACTGTTTTAAAATTTGCAAGGAAAAAAATGAAGACAAGAACTCTATAATAACATTAAACTAGTTTTAAGTTCAAGTTAAATTCTTGCGCTTTGTCGTTCAATGTTTCGACCAAACTTCGTGTTTTCGATTTTTAGACGAACTCGTGACTAATTTTGTGACCATGCAGCGACTAATTTTTCAGTTACGTTGTGATAAAACTTTCAACCCAGTCGCGCCCTACTTTTCTTTCAGGCCGCCACTAATTTTTCGACCATGCCGCGACTAGTTTTTTGACCTCGCCGCAGCTAAATTTTTGACCATGACGCGGCTTCTTTACTACCGTTGCCGCCGAGATACACTATTTCCAGACTGTGCCCGGAGATACGGTAAATCCTGACTTTGCATGCGACACAAAACCTTGTCGAAACTATGGATTTTTGGTGACGAAATAAACATCGTCGCAAAAATCAATCGAAAAGAGCAAGTTGCCTCATTCCGGAAAATTTTGCTTGCAGACGCTAGTGTTCAGACTAAAGTTATGTCTCAAGGTCGCGTCAAATATCAACACCGAATGCCTATTTTTATTTATTCCTATTGAAATTTCATTGGTCAAAAGAAATTAAGTTAATCCTCAAAAAGTTTTGTTTCGGTTTTTATAAAATGTTTTTTGTTTCCCTGTTGATATGAGCAAATTTATAAATCAGACGTCGAAATGAGCAGATTTATGTTGTTTCAATTTGTTCAGTTGCGTTAACCGAAAAAGTAGTTGCCAAAAATTGGGCATCTTTAAAGTAAAAAAAAATTTAGGCAAAATATTGGACAACCTAATTAAAATTTTGAATAACTCCAGCCGTTTTTGGTTCCAAATTTTAGACAATTTTGAGCGAAATTTAGCAATTAAGTTGTTCTTGACAAAAAAATTAAAAAAATTGTGTGACAGACTTTGTTAAAACAAAATTTATTGAAATTTTTTTTTGGATTCAAAATAACTTTTTGCAAAAATGCAATCGTTTTGCAGTGTCTTTCTAATTATGTTCCAGTTTTACTGCTAGTTTTAAGTCTCAAATTCAGAATTGTTTCAAAATTAGTAGATTTTCCCTGAAAAGAACACTCAAAATCTTCAAATTTGTTTTTTTTTCGTCACTGCAACAATTTTTGAAGCTTTTCAATGCGCTCAAGTGTCGGCTAAACGTGCCGCAAAATGATATAATACGCAACGCAGTCAGATTAATGATCGTAGTACCTAATTCTGCAAGGAAAAAAACACCCGAACACAGAATTTTTCCCAATGGTCTATGGTCGGAACAATCTTTGCTCCACAAAATACCTCTGAATAAATGTTCCCAAAGTAAGCTTATTAGCCAAGTTGAGTAAAAATTTATCTCAAACATCCGTGCAATTTACAAATTTTTGTAAATAAACTAGTTGAACCTTACATTTCTTAATAGTTGAGTTATTTGATCAATTTTGTTACAGTGAAAAAAAAGAGAGAGAACAACATTTTGTGTGTGTTCGAAAATTCAATAAGAAAAATTAGTCACGGAGATAACTGCATTTGCTTGAATTTTTTTACCATTTTGAAAAAAATTACAGGGTATTACTAATCATTAGATTTAACAAGCAATAAAAAATCATAAGCTTGAATTCCATGTTTTTTAGGGTGAACAGAAAAAAACACCCATTCGTCTATGCTATTGCAAAAAAAATATGTTATAGTCGGTAAACAATCGTAAAAAAACAATACGACTATGCTACTTTCGTAAATCTGAAAAACATTTGCAAACAGTTAGTTATGATATATTTTTCTAAGAAAGTGCAAATGGCGGCCTTGCGGTAAAATTATTATTGTAAATAATTCAATTGGGAAAAAAAATTGTTGCTCAAATTGGTTATTTATCAATCAAAGTTTTTTTGGGCCGTGCGTGCTTAAACGTGCAGTATTAAACGTTTTGGCGTTGACAAAACAAAAAGTATTGAAGCTTAGAAAACAGCACATTTCATTGTATATTAGTTAAAGATAACAGCTGTTAACAGACATATTGATCAAAATCAAAATCACCTTTGAGCTTAATCCTTCTCCAGAAAAACCTCCATTCAGGCAAAACCACACAGAACACCATCTTATCCCATGGAAAGACTGGAGTGATTTGTTCCAATACGACGACAAAAAAAAACTCGATATAACGAAGGTATTCGAAGGAATGAGGGCGGACATAAGAAAATCAGATCCATGTTTTTTATTGCCCTAGGAAACAAAAGGAAGAAAAACATTGGTAAAAATTTCACAAAAGAGAAAATTCTTCGTATCAACCTCAAAGAGTTCCGGGAGTGCTGGAATCTAGCTCTATTAGAAAACGCAATATCATTTTTGTTTGGGATAAAATGTAAACGTGAAGAAAATGAGATCAGAAAAACCTTTAAAAGATCAAGGATTTCTTAGCGCAAAAAGCTAAAAAGGGCGATATCTCCAGAGGAGATTATAAATGGTCCCGTGACACTTTCATTAACAACATGAATTATGACATTCAGAGAAAGTTGTTAACTGAGACTAGATATTCGCTTTTCTTGTACTAAGTCTAAATTAATTGCGTCTAGTGGTGCGACTGTCTCAGTTTTAATCATCTAAAAATGACAAACATCATAAAATCCCAGAATAAATTGTCAAACATCTATCGGAATTTTAACGAGAAAGAGAACCTACTCCAAACGTTGAACGAAAAAAATCATGATGCATGAATAAAATAGTTTTTTCCAGCCAAGAAAAAATAGTTTTTCCAGAAAAAATAGTTTTTCCAGCCAAGGACACATATTGTACATCGTGTAACTATAA